TCTTCACTAGCTCTGCATGGAGGGATGAGTCTGTGGCTGAACGTGCTCCTCATCTTCACTAGCTCTGCATGGAGGGATGAGTCTGTGGCTGAACGTGCTCCTCATCTTCACTAGCTCTGCATGGAGGGATGAGTCTGTGGCTGAACGTGCTCCTCATCTTCACTAGCTCTGCATGGAGGGATGAGTCTGTGGCTGAACGTGCTCCTCATCTTCACTAGCTCTGCATGGAGGGATGAGTCTGTGGCTGAACGTGCTCCTCATCTTCACTAGCTCTGCATGGAGGGATGAGTCTGTGGCTGAACGTGCTCCTCATCTTCACTAGCTCTGCATGGAGGGATGAGTCTGTGGCTGAACGTGCTCCTCATCTTCACTAGCTCTGCATGGAGGGATGAGTCTGTGGCTGAACGTGCTCCTCATCTTCACTAGCTCTGCATGGAGGGATGAGTCTGTGGCTGAACGTGCTCCTCATCTTCACTAGCTCTGCATGGAGGGATGAGTCTGTGGCTGAACGTGCTCCTCATCTTCACTAGCTCTGCATGGAGGGATGAGTCTGTGGCTGAACGTGCTCCTCATCTTCACTAGCTCTGCATGGAGGGATGAGTCTGTGGCTGAACGTGCTGGAGGGATGAGTCTGTGGCTGAACGTGCTCCTCATCTTCACTAGCTCTGCATGGAGGGATGAGTCTGTGGCTGAATGTGCTCCTCATCTTCACTAGCTCTGCATGGAGGGATGAGTCTGTGGCTGAACGTGCTCCTCATCTTCATTAGCTCTGCATGGAGGAGTGGGAGAGGTTCTCTAGGTCTACAAGTAGTAGAATACTTTTAAGATTTAAAAGACAATATTGTGTACATCACTTCCAGCTCTTCCCCTGTCTCAACAGGTGTACATATGGTCATTTAAAATGATATCCAAAACGTTTTATTTAAAATATTTTTATTAAAATTTTCTTTTTTATTGTCATGCTTAATATCCTCTGTGTTGTGTATTGTCTAGACGCAATTAAACCAAAGCAAACAGATGACCAATACTAACAGTCATACCTAAGTGAGTCCATAATGCACACACTACGTTTACAGTACATGTAAAAAGGGGGGGCTTAATGCAACCTTCATGCACAGGTGTACTTCTGCTGTATTTATTCATATCTGATAACTGAGCTCATTTGTTAATGGCTATTTATTTATAATATTGGGCAATCTAAAAACCAAGTCATTACTGTTTTTTGAATGAAATGTTGTACCTTTTTAATCCATTTTTCTTTTTAATGGTTGTGTCTCCTTTTTTGTCCTAGACTCACTTGCATTGTGAGACTGGCTGTTAGAGGACCATTAGATAAAAAAGATAGACCATTTTTTATTTTCTTGTGCAGGATTGCAGGGACAGAAACCCCAATTTATTTATACCTTGACAGTGATGAGTGTTTATTTTACCAAGAGATCTGTAGCCATGAGTATGCAACTAAACTACGCAAGGAATTTAAATTAAAGTGGACAAAACAATGACCTTTTCATTTTCTATTATTTGAATGTAAAATTGTGCTTAACTAAGTGGTAATGCAGACTTAAAGATCACAGCCGAGTTGGAAAACCAACAGAATCTGATCTTAAAGAAATAATGTTCACTCCATGCACAGCAGCAGCCTTTCCCACAATGTTTCCTACAGGAAGGTACAAACCAAGATAGATTGGGATTTCTAAACCAGTAATAGTAAGTAGAGGATAGCAGGCCTCTTGTGCTAATTTAAGATTGTATCTGGCTTTATCTTAAGAGCTTGTTGGGCACTAGAGAACCACATTTCTAAGAGATGTCAAACTTAAATATATGGTTTATTTTCAACAATCGATTTTTCCCTCTGAGAAGGATCCTAACCAGAATCCAACTTGAGATGCAGCAGTTATATTGTTTAGCTTTTTACATTTGTATAATGAATTAGCTACCTGACGATATTTAAAAAAAAATTGTAATTAAAATCTTCATTCCCAATTTTGATTTTGATGAATTAAGACAAATCCCAGGCACTCAATCAAGTGACTTGTTACATACAATCAGTGAGGCACATTCAATACAAAAGGAAAACAAGTGATGATGGTTTGTTAACAAAGCATAGCTTTATTGTGATGGTGGAAACAGTCTATGGAACATTGACAACATGGCGGGGACCGGATGACTATTTAGACTGCACTGCCTTCTCGGTCTTCTGTCCCTGCTTCGCGCCCTTCTTGTTGTGCTTCTTAGCAAAGCGCATGTTCTTCAGGAACTTAGGGTCCACCTGCAGCAAAGAAAGAAAATTAAAGTGAGTGTTGAATTATAGTGTTGAAGTAATGAACAATTCCAAGATGCATTTGAAAGCAAAATAATAATTAAACAGAGCGAAAGACACAAAGGCTCAAGCTGGCAAAAAACAAACAAAACACTTGTTAGAGTTTGCATTTTAGTCTTCGCCATATGTTCATATCAGGGTAAAAAGAAAAACGACATGATAGCAGATCTTTTTAACTTACAGGCCTAACACATCATTTGCAGTTGCTGCCACTGTTGAACACTGACTGACCAGTGGCAAAGATCAGACGTACTCATCCACAGCAGTCCGTCTTCAGCCAAATCATTCTAAACCCTTTATAAATGACAACAACCTTGATAATAATAGTAGCAGAATTTTCCAGGCACTTGTGTGCAATATGTTATCCACATGGAAGATGGATAAAGTAGCATAGTTTCTTATAAATGAGCACACAATAAGATCAGCTTCCCACTAAGATCAATATATATTTTCGCATAATCTTCCGGGGGATGTGCTTAGTGGAAGAGAAAGAGGAAAACGTAACTTTCACAATTCTCCAGACAAGGCTTGACATTATCATAGTGACTAAACAACACGTAGAACTAAGGATCTTCCTTACACTCAATATCATGTATGTGAAAACCCACGTTCTTTAATTTAAGAATTTCAATGAAATGTATTTTGCCAACATTATTTCTTTCAAATAAAGTTCCTTTGCTGGCTAAGTTTGCCATTCTATAGAGGTGTAAAGATCAACCCTTTCAAAGAATATTGCATCGTGAGGAGATTTGTGATTTGTTGTTTTAAAAAAAACAACCAGATACATGGATATATGAGCCTATAACTAGTTGGGAGGCCTCATCAACTTAAAAATAACTGAATAAAAAGACAACCCAAGACAGCCACTTCAACAGAATAGTCTCAATAAATCTGGAATCCACATATGGACTGAAAATAAGCTCTAGGGCGGGGGTGATTGCTCAACGAGTCTGTGCTTCGCAGATTAGTTAGTCCAAATACACAAAAGCAAATGAACCACTAAAAGCACCTAAATCAAATGACAAGAGTGTTACGTCTAAATACTGACCAGCTTCATGTTCACAGAAACATTCCACTTGCAGGTAACCACCTTGCATAATAACACTTCAGATGTCCAGGTTCTCACTAAAACCTGATTTCTGGGATGAATGCAGACATACAACAGAAACAGTACGTACCCCCTTCAGAGACTCATATCGCTGAGATGTGGGCTTCTTGATGCCATTCCTATGGGCCTTACGAGCTGTTAAGAAAAGGAGAGACACAATTACATTAACAGTTCATAACAAACCTTGCAACATCCACTTCTGCAAAGACCACTTGACAAGATGGATAGTGGTGGTGCATGTAAAGTCAGTCAGACATTTGTGTAACAGCTTTCAAAAGTAAGCTCCTCAGAGAGTAAACTTCACACTGCAATAATACTTACACTGGTTGTGGGTTGTGTGATTCTTTGACTTGGCCATTTCGACACGTGTTTATCTGAAGAAAGGAAAAAGTAGACGTTAGTCTTTATTCAGCATGTTTTGTGCATGTTTGCTAACGTTTGAATCGCTAGCCGGTAGCGCAGGAAGCTTTGCAGAATGTAAACAGATGCGTTGGTTCAAAGACAAACTAGCAACAATTATAGCAGGGAAGTTTAATTATAAATGTACTTGCAAGACCAAAAATATGCTATTATACTACAAGTGAGCATTTTAGTGCCCTGCTTTGAACTGAACGCTAGCTGCTTGGCTTTCGGCGGCGTTAGCACTTTTCAAATGTAAAATGTAACCATTAATGATGATCAAATCTTATACATATTGCCGTATACATATGAACAATAAGGTGATGTATCACACTTGGTAGCTGTTTGTGTATTTGAGTGTAAAATACACGAAGATTGATGAAGATTTTAAAAGTGCACATAGATGGGAAAACTCTGTACCTGCCACACGAACAGACGACAACCGGAAGAGAAAGAAAACTTGACCCCGCAGAAGAAGAAGAAGATTATGAGATCAGCGCCGCCTGCAGATGGTTTATGGAACTACCGGTGAGAGCCCTCAACTGACCACATGATGTCACCCTGTGCACACATATATGACAGCCTGTGTGTGTGTGTGTGTGTGTGTGTGTGTGTGTGTGTGTGTGTGTGTGTGTGTGTGTGTGTGTGTGTGTGAGCTTGTGTTTTGCACTGGAGGTATGTCCTGAATGCTCAAGTACAGATATTGTGTTTGAGACATCTATCCTGACTTCTATCCTGTTCTTATTATACATCCATGATCCTGACCTGCAGCTCGGGCAATAATTAATTGCACACTATCTCTCTTGTTTTACTGTCTACTGTAACTATCAATCTTCCATTTATGCTTTCACGTTGCTTTGTTGCACTGATTTAACCCTTTAACTGCCAGCACCACCATTTGGTAGAGCACATTTCGCGTCTTGATATCTTGTTGAA